CCTGGCAGCTCCAGCCACTCGTCCCCAAACCACCTGCTGGCTTTGTGAATTTGGGCATGTCCCCCTCCATCCTGTTAGCATCTCATAACATTGTTATGTGATCTGCACGCAGGGTGTATTTAAAGCTTTCAGAGATGTTTATTTGTGAATCAGCACTTTCACTGGCAATGTTTGGGAAGCAGCGCGGTGCTGGGTTTTTTCAGTGTGTGGATTCCTTCAGCAGCTCCATCTGTCGCGGCAACCAGGACAAGAGTTGCTTTTACTGCAAGAGATGGGTTGAAGGCTGGTGGCTTTAGCTGAGCAGTCAGATTGGGGTTGCTGGGAGGGAAAGTTGTTAACCAAAAGTACTGGACTGTTTCTGTTAGCCAGTACAGAATAACATGAATCCAGATGTTTGTCTGCCCCGAAACACAGAACACCTGCGTGGACGATATCTTACTGCAAATCAGGGAGCAGCTCGCCAAGTCGAGAGTGATAGAAACGGACCTGGCCAAGCCTCTGCTCGATTCCCTGCTCCGTGTGGCGCTGGGCGCGTTCTCTGGTGATCCGGACCATGCTGAAGAAAAGATTGAGAAGGTATGAAACGCCAACTGAGTCCAGTTCCAAATACAGCGAGTTACTGTATTCTTGGTCAGGTTTATGGTGTTGTGGTTTGTAGGATGCAGTTACGTGTGTTTGGTTGCTCTGGCGGCTGTGTCTCCAATGGGCTTGGAGAAAACGGGCGTCTGGAAGGTGCCCAATTGCTTGTTTTTCTGACCCAAGAGGGTAAATGTGTGTGTTATACAGCCGCATTACGCTGAAAAGGAGCCTGTGTCACAACCTGGAGATATTTCTGAGGAAACCGAGGAATCGCAGAGCTGCAGCCTGAAGCTGTTTGCTGAGGAGGAGGGGTATGAAGCAGACAGCGAAAGCAACCCCAACGACGGTGAAACCAAGAGCGAAGGTAAGCGGGGACTTTGCAAATACACAGAGCAGGCTTGGTGCCATAGTGAGGCTCACTTGTCTTTTGAGGTGTCCAAAACCAGGGCGAGCATTGGAGACCTGAACAGATGGAAAAGGTTTAACTTCTTTACTTCCAGCAGGACGCAGTTACGGATGGAGAGGCAATAAATGTTCTCACTGAGTGTTACAGGAGCTGCTTTGCCTTGGCTTTCCTGGCTTGTGACTCTAAAGTCACGTTGCTCAGGGGTATTACTGTGATCCAGAAGCAGTTTTCTCCAGAGGTGCTCACCAGCAGTTTGGAAATCAATGCTCTTTTTTAAAATTTAGTACTATAACAGTCTGGTATAAATCAGATCATCTAATTTATATCTTTTATGTTCATTCAATGGCTGATACACATCTCCTGTATTCTGTTTAGTTAATTTTGAACATGAATTTGTTCCAGTCTTTTCCTCTGTGCTGAACATCTGGATGCTTGCACTGCTGTGTGGGGTCGGTGTGAGCACTAAGAGCCTCTAACACACACACAACTCTTGCTGTTGACCTGTGTGACTCGGCTCTGTCAGCAGATACACAGCATTTTAAAAGCGTTTTTGAATTAAAAACAACCTGAAACATTTCTGCGAAACACTTACATGAAACATGTCTATGTCAAATAGTTTTTTTTTTTCAAGTAATGTGTCTTAAAGCCTCTTCATGATGTGAGAGGCTTAAGAGTTTGGGGTTTTTTTGCTTTTTCTGATTGTCCTGGAGCTATTCTGTCATATGCCATCATGTGCATTTTCTGAATTAAGCTGCTTCCCCCAAGCTTTTAACATGAAATAACATAATTCACATTTATCTCCGCTCTTGGCAGGCTGGGGTCTGTGTAGAAGCCCTGGGCTCTGTTTACAATGACTTTACTGTCACATCTCATGAATCGCACATTTCATCACGAGCGTGTCCAGTTCCCAGGCAACGGGGGCGCGCAGTAATGGGACCAACTGCGTCCTTCCCCTCCTGCGCTGGCAGGGAAATAGGATGGTCTGTTAGACAGCAGTTCACGAGCGTGTCCAGTTCCCAGGCAACGGGGGCGCGCAGTAATGGGACCAACTGCGTCCTTCCCCTCCTCCTGTGCTGGCAGGGAAATAGGACGGTCTGTTGGACAGCAGTTATATTAACTTCTGAAAACTGCATTTCAACTGGTGGCTGTTTTGTGCCTGTGAGGAGGCTGGAGGAAGTTTGTGCTGGGATGCCCTGCTCCAATGGTGCCAACGGCGTTCGGCTGGGTGTGTTCCACGAGAAGTGTTCTCTTGCAGGAGCAGACACCAAGGCAGACCCAGGATGTGCTGGTCCTTCAGGTTATTTTAATGACCTACCCGAAAGCATCAACCGAGGAGAGTTAATGTATCCTGAAATCTGCATGTTGGAGCTCAACCTGCTCTCGGCCGGCAGTGCCGGTTTGGATGTGCTGGCTCACGGCTTCCAGAGCTGCCTGAAGATCGTCAGCCAGAGGGAGAGCAACGCCACTGCACTGATCGAGCAGGTACGCGTGCACTGAGCACAGCAGCAGCTCAGCAGCCGTGTGTCTTAGCCTCTTCAGCTTTATAGCACCGGTGTACCCAGCAGAGTCCCTTCAGAGACGTGCTCACTTCTTACGGCGTTGGATGGGACCTGAAACAACGGCAGTGACGGCTGTTGCCGGCTGCGTTGTGGTTGTGTTACCAGAAACTACGGTTAATGGTTGTGTTGAAAAATACTTGAAATGCATGCAAAGATACTTGGCCTCAAAGCTTTTGAGCTCCACAGTCTCTGTTGCATAAGTAACCATCTAAGACTGTTTAAGGTATTTGTTAATTCTTTTGACTGTGGTGGAGATGGGAATAGATGATGAGGAAAGGAAGCGTGATCCCCGTTTCTGAGGAGGTTGTCCAAGCTGGACTTAATTCCACGAGAAATCTTCTCCTGCCCCCATCCCTTTTCTGTATTTAAAGGTGAAGAATTCCCTTTACAGGAGGATGACTTTGAATGGTAGGAGGTCAGGGTAGCGAGATGATACAGCACATCCTTTATAGTGTGCAGGCTTCTGGCACTACCGAAGAGCTGGCCCAAACACTGTGGATTCATTAAGCAAGCAGTTTCTAACTCCAGGTTTGGACTGTACGCAAACTAGATGCATCTGTAGTACATTTATTTGATGACTAAGTAGTTACAAGAACTGGAGGCAGGCAATACCTGTGTAATCAACACTTGTGTTACAGCATTCAGTGTGCTTTGTATAAGGAGAATTTTCACATGTGTGAGTGCCTTATTGCTTGAAACAAACGAAAGGTGCTTGCTCCCCTCCGTAGAGCAAAGTGGGGATTCCTTTTCCATGGCTCCAGCGCAGTTCCCTCATTTTATCAGGACTGTTCAATTGCTGAGCTATAGGAACAGACTTAGTGACCAGCAGGCCGTTGGAAACAAAACCAAACCACCCAAATATCTTGCAAACGCTCTGAATACGTGTGTTCACTGTGTGCTTTCAGAAACTTTCAGTGATGGACCCCAAAAATACTTCATTATTTTATTTATCACAGAATATTAGGAGTTGGAAGGGACCAACCCCTGTCAGAGATAAAGATCACAGGATCACAGAATCGCTGGGTTGGAAAAGCCCTCTGAGATCATCACGTCCAACCGTTCCTGTCTACCCCCTAAACCATATCCCTAAGTACCTCGTCTACCCGCTCTTTAAACACATCCAGGGATGGGGACTCCACCACCTCCCTGGGCAGCCTGTGCCAGCTTCTGACGACCCTCTCAGTAAAGAACTTCCTCCTTATCTCTAACCTGAACCTCCCTTGGCACAGCTTGGTGCCGTTTCCCCTTGTTCTATCCCCCATCACCTGGGAGCAGAGACCAGCACCCACCTCTCCACAAGCTCCCTTGAGGCAGTTGGAGGTGGTGCTGAGGTCTCTCCTTAGCCTTCTCTTCTCCAGGCTAAACAAGCCCAGTTCCCTCAGCCGCTCCTCATCAGGCTTGTTCTCCAGAGCCCTCCCCATCCTTGTGGCTCTGCTCTGAACACGCTCCAGAATCTCCACATCCTTCTTCTAGTGAGGGGCCCACAACTGAACACAGCACTCGAGGTGCGGCCTCACCAGTGCCCAGTACAGGGGGATGATCACCTCCCTGGCCCTGCTGGTCACACTGTTTTGAATACAGGCCAAGATAAAACTTGCCCATCATAAGTTTATATTAGCAATTGGATACACGCATGCTGGTGTCCTCAGGATCCTTTGAATTTCTGGTGGTTAGATTGCTTTTTAATAACTAAAGAGTGTGCCTCTTCTGCAAAAGAGGAAAATCTGGTTAAGTCATCTAGGCTTAAAGTGCTTGTTTATATAATTAACTGACTAACGAACCAAAGTCAGTGCTTTACGGCTTAAGACAAAAGCAGGAAAGGAAAACATGGTTTTTATTTCAGTACTCAGATTTCGTGTGAGTTATTGGCTTTACATCAATAGCACACGTTTATTTCCTTTTTTCTGAACTTCAACACATGAAATTGTTTATGAGATGTTGAATTACTGTCATTACTTCTCAGTATCATTTAGAAAGAGCCATCTGTCGAACTAAACAATTTAGAGATTTTTATTATTTTCGGAGGTTTTTCAAATTACCTTTATCCAAGATGCAGTTGTGACGGATGCTCATAAGTAAATGGCTTTGACTTTTTTTAATTATTTTTTTGTAATTACTCTTTAAAGTCATCTTGCACAGAAGGGTTGGGGAAAGGGTGACTGTGCATTAGTGCTGTGTGACCATCGCCCTGGTTTGGTCTCCCTCTGTGAAGGGGAGGACGAGGGGGCTCTCGGCTGCGGAACTGAACGGCTCAAAGGTTTCTTCCCAGAAAATTTGGGTTCCAGAGTCTCTTCTGCAGCTGAGCTCTACATGAAGTGAAGACTGTTCATTAGCACATACAGAAAACATTGCCATAATTTAAAGTAGCTGGAATGGCCTTTAAAGTCAATAGGAGACAAGAAGTGATTGAAAGCAATCATTTCTTAGTTCTTGGAGCTGCTGTGTGTTCTCCAGATATCAATTTTCCCTGTTATTTTTATTTTTAACAGGGAGCTGTTAAACATCTTTTGGGAGGATTTCTGCACATATTGACACAGACGGAGTCAAGTTTTCATGGTGAGTTCAAGGCCTGACAAACTTAAATAGAGTTTTTTACAACTGAATGTGTGCACACAGATTTTTAGTTCACAATGCAGATGCAAAATGGACAAAGCAAATGCTTTGTCATGTGGGAATTGATGCATCTGCGTCTTTAACTCATGACAAGTATCTAACATACGTGTGGGCTGGGCTGGCCACTAAACCCTGGCCAGACACTCTCATTAACCCCTCTGCCCTCCCCAGAAGGGAAAAGAGAAGAAGGGAGAGAGACTGCACGGGTTAGGAAAGAAAACTGACAGGTTTAATGAAACAATAACACTGATACTACAGGATAATGATGGAAATAGGAAAATAATGGAATAGATACAAACATGTACAAATAGATCTACAAAACCAAGAGAAAATCCTCCCCAGTGACCATGACGGCACCAGAGGCTCTGGGAGCACTGGAAAAGTCCCAGTGTGGCCCCAGCAGCAGTGGGAGCTGATGCAGGAACACAGGGCTCAGGATGAGAGGCAGGCGAAGCAGCAGGGTCTGCTGGGCCTTGGGCCATTGCAGGGGTGGAGAGGGAAGGAAGGGTCCAAGCTGGAAGGGTCCAGCCCCTGGTGATCCCTGGGCTTTGCACTGAGTGTGGGTGTGTGGGATGCAATCCCTGGTTGGGCAGGTTTGGGTCTGCTCCTCCTGTAGGTGCAGACACAGCCCCCATGGTGAGACAGTGGCCTTGCCATGTTTCCATATCATACCAGCACTATCACTGGTAGAAGTGCACACTGTTGTTAAACCATGCTGCTGGTTTCAGCAAGTTCAGGCACTGAAAAGAGACTGAGCTGGAAAGTGAAATCACCGAATAGAAAATCGCTTCTGTTTAGCTCAAACCAGGACACCATGTAAGTACAGAGCTATTTCTGAGCTGGTGGAAATCTGTCATTCAAACACACGCTGTCAGATCCCAAAGTGATGGTTGGAGTCATCAATGTAGGAGGACAGTGTTGACAAACATTGCTGGGGAAACCAGCAGGTATGAGCGCTCCCCAGCTGCAGATGATGCAGACCCATCCCAGACCTTGGTCCCACCTTGCAGAGCAGCTGCTGGGTTCCCAAACCTCGTGGCTCTGCTTTGTCCCCGTGCAGCTGAACCTGCTGTGGGTTTGGTCTCTGAAACATGGAGCCTGGTGAGACGATGGATGTTGATGGTGTCAGGAAGTGCTGCTGGGTCTCTCCAGAACTCATAATCATTAACACTTCCCAAATTGGAAAAGTTTCCACTGAATTCCAAGTTAATCTTTCCTCATGGTAGTACGCAATATGAATTTCTTTTAAAAATTTGAAGAATATGATCTTGTCTGCTTATTTCTAGCATGTCAGGTTGTGCTGGTAGAGCTGTTAGTCTCCTTGATGAGCTCACAGACGTGTTCAGAAGAGCTCACCCTGCTCCTGAGGATATTTCTGGAGAAGACCCCGTGTACGGTAGGTGTGGAGCAGCACGTTGTGGAATTCAGAGGCCTAATGAGGAAAACGAAGCGAAATAGAAAATCCTTTTGTGCCCAAGTATTTTGAGAAATAAGGAGACTTTAGCAGCAACGTTCTGACTGACCAGAGCAAATAAAATTTGGCAGTTGGAACAGTTAATTCTCAAAACATGGAAAGGAAATGAGAGATAAGAGAGGGCTTTGAAGTGTGTTAGAGTCTGGGAACTCTTATGCACAAGAGCAAGATTCCTCTTGGGGAGCCTGACGCTGTGGTCCCAAGTATTTTGAGAAATAAGGAGACTTTAGCAGCAACGTTCTGACTGACCAGAGCAAATAAAATTTGGCAGTTGGAACAGTTAATTCTCAAAACATGGAAAGGAAATGAGAGATAAGAGAGGGCTTTGAAGTGTGTTAGAGTCTGGGAACTCTTATGCACAAGAGCAAGATTCCTCTTGGGGAGCCTGACGCTGTGGTTGT